CAGATGAAAACTATGAATTTGATGATTTCGATTATCTAACTATTCAAGAAGAGAATGAAGAGTGTTAATTTTTTTGTTTTAAATGAAGTTGAATAACAATTTCCTCGTTACCAAAATCTATAAACCTATTTTTACCATCTTTGATTTCCAGATTTATATCTTTAATCATAAAGGAATTAAGTGGTAAATACGTCGTTTGAAATGGTTTCTCTATAATTCTATATCCTATCGATACAGTGAATGTTGGAAGACTGTAAATAATCTGACGTTTGTATTTATTGAAAAATCCACCGTTTATTAAATTGCAATGTATATTTATCACATCGATATCATTCTCGATATTAGCTTTGTGTGGTGCTAAAGTGGATTGGGTGTATAGTTTATCTAATCCTAGTAACGTATTCAATGAATTTTCTACTTGACTATTATTTCTTAATATCAATTTTATTTTGTTTAGATTCAAATTACCTTCGAATTCAATATTGTTTTACCATTGACGCTTCCTGCGTATTCAGATAAGTATTCGTTAATGGCTATGTATTCCTGGTAGTAAACGTATGGTTTTGAATGTAACTCCGTTATCTGTTGATATTTTTTTTATTTGGTTATTTTTTTCGTTGATATTTCTAATGGAATTGTGAACAGAGAAATACTTTAATCCTAATTCATATTCTTGATTGCGATCGAGTTCGTACTCATAATCTAGAGACAATTTAATGTCTGATTTATTCGAGGTGATGACGAATAGTTGTTCTTTATTTGACATTTTAATCACGCTTTTATAATCATTTTTATCTATGATACCTTTCTCTAGGAGTCTTTTTAATATACAATTTACTTCATTATATTGTCTGTGTGATCGATGACCTTCTTTCATTGCCGCTAATATTACTCGTAATCTATTAAGTAGTTCCTCGTTGTTGTCGGATAAAAACGTTATACCTTCTCCAGATACCATATCTTCGAATTCGTCTATTTCTTGTGTGATAGGAGGATGCTCTTCAGCATAATCACCTAACTCCTCTTCATCACGTTAAATTACTCTTTTATATAGTTTAACTTCTTTTGATCTTCTTGTTTCGGGTCCTGACTCTCTTATTGCATCTAGAAATTTTGAGTATGCTACTAAATCCTTATAATCGGCAATACCAACATCTTCGCCATTCATTAAATCTATTAATCCTTTCGTTAATGTGTATATATAATCTTTTGTATCGATTATAAATTCGGGGGTATTTGCCCTAAATCTTATTCTAAATCCATTAAACCGTAGCCCTGCTTCATCAATGATTGGTGAAATGCTCTTTGGTAAATCTGGGTCAGGGTTTGAAAAATAAGGTTTTACATTATCTACTGTCCTAATTATAATACCATGATATTCAATCGCTTTGGGAGGTTCTATAGGAGCTAAGGGTTCTATAGGAGGTTTATATTCTAATTTCTTTTTAATATCCTCTTGAGATTTTAATAAGGGTTGAAATAGAGTTTGTAGATTTTCCGTTAATCCGAGTTGTTGTAATCTGTTATTTTCAACTTGGGTTTTTATTTTATTCTTAGCTTTGATATATTCTTTATTTCTTTTTAAAATATTATTCAAATCGTTACTCATTTTTAAAAAAATAAAATGTTGATCATAAATCTTTCACCCGCAGGTTTTCTAGTATTTACAAATACATATCCATAATCATCTGGGTTTTTCCATTGAGCTTTACAAACTTTTTTGAATGTATCTCTGTCAATTCCGTGATTTATCGATTGAACGATTTGAGATAAATCTTTATCATTTAATTCAAATAATAAAAAACAATTTGCATTTTTTCTAATGAACATAGAATCCATCCCGTAAAAAGATTGGGATTGGTATATGCAGTGACAGTTGTGATGTCTTCCTTTCGTGAAGAATTCTTGTTGAACGGCTTGATTTCTTTGCGCTACGCAGTCGTCAAACACTAGTAAGTTCTTTCGCTCGCTATCAATTTTAGACAAATCTAGATCATTAACATTTTTTGTAAGAAAAACTTTTATATGCGTTGGTTTCTTTCCTTCGATGTAGTTATCTATGAAATCTTTTATTTCCACTTCTTCTTCGTTTTCTGCGTAATATTGAAATAGGTCTTGAACATTTTTCTTTGGTAGATATTCTAAAGCTTTGCGGAATTGATAATACGATTGCTCTGGTGTTGTTGTGTAGATATACAAAGAATCGAAATCTAAAAGGTTTTGTGTTGTCAACATGTTAAAAGTGAGATGAGTTTTCCCAGAACCGGAATTACCGCATATACACATGAGCATTGGGTTATTAGGAAATATTTCTGAATGATTAAATTTTTTACCCATTTTTTTTGTTCCAAAAATAACTCCTTCTCCTTTATACTTCGAAACATATATTCCTTCTCCGGTGTGTATATTTTTAAAAAATATTCCATTACCCTTATGTTTGACTTTGATTTCTCCTGTGTCAATACTATCTACTAATTTAATTAACCCTTGTTTAACGGTTTTCTTGGTTTCTTCACTAAATCTTTTTCCAAATTCTTTCATTGTGCCTATCATTTCTCCCACTCCTGAACCTTTCTTTTCCGTTTTAGGTTTTTTAACCTCTGCTGCCAACTTTTCCATTTTTAAATTATGTCTATGTTCTTCGGCTGCTGTTACTGCAGCTGCTTTCTTTTCGTTGGCAACGCTTACTCCACCAGCTGTAGCACCAGCCACTGTAGCCGCCGTGGTAATACCAGCAAATATTAAAGGTAGGGAAAAAATAAATCCACCTTTTTTTACATTTGTATCAATTCTTTCTAAATCTATATCGTCTCTGACTTTACAGTATTTGTATTTATCAATAAGTTTTTTAGTTATGTTGATTTTTTTACCGTTGAAAGTTATTACAGTAGGGGAATCTGTTTCAACAGCTTCTGCGGGTGAAAGAGTTATGATCAACATTTTATTTTTTTAAAATGAGTAACGATTTGAATAATATTTTAAAAAGAAATAAAGAATATATCAAAGCTAAGAATAAAATAAAAACCCAAGTTGAAAATAACAGATTACAACAACTCGGATTAACGGAAAATCTACAAACTCTATTTCAACCCTTATTAAAATCTCAAGAGGATATTAAAAAGAAATTAGAATATAAACCTCCTATAGAACCCTTAGCTCCTATAGAACCTCCCAAAGCGATTGAATATCATGGTAATCGATACAAAAGATTATATATACACATTAACGAAAGGATTAATAGATTTAATGAATGGCGAGGATGTTGGTATTGCCGATTATAAGGATCTAGTAGCATACTCAAAATTTCTAGATGCAATAAGAAAGTCAGGACCCGAAACAAGAAGATCAAAAGAAGTTAAACTATATAAAAGAGTAATTCAACGTGATGAAGAGGAGTTAGGTGATTATGCTGAAGAGCATCCTCCTATCACACAAGAAATAGACGAATTCGAAGATATGGTATCTGGAGAAGGTATAACGTTTTTATCCGACAACAACGAGGAACTACTTAATAGATTACGAGTAATATTAGCGACAATGAAAGAAGGTCATCGATCACACAGACAATATAATGAAGTAAATTGTATATTAAAAAGACTTCTAGAGAAAGGTATCATAGATAAAATTGATTATAAAAGCGTAATTAAAAATGTCAAATAAAGAACAACTATTCGTCATCACCTCGAATAAATTAGACATTAAATTGTCTCTAGATTATGAGTACGAACTCGATCGCAATCAAGAATATGAATTAGGATTAAAGTATTTCTCTGTTTACAATTCCATTAGAAATATCAACGAAAAAATAACCAAATAAAAATATCAACAGATAACGGAGTTACATTCAAAACCATACGTTTACTACCAGGAAGCTATGAATACATAGCCATTAACGAATACTTATCTGAA